ATCTGTTGGTTCAGTTTGTGACCCTCCTGATTATTCTTGGGATGACTCTCTACTTCCATAATCTCTCACAATCGTCTAAGGGTGAGCTACCCAGGTTACTTAGGATTTAAAGTTTAATAATAAATGCAAAATCACTATTTCATCATTCATGACCTAAAGAGAAACTGAAAGTCTATGTAGTTTATTCTTCCTTGTGAGCTTTGCATTAAGTCAGGATTTTGAATGATGTGCAAACTAGCCATGATAGAGGAAAAATAAGGTACATCCTGTTTTATTGCACTGTTTTTTGTGTTATTTCAAATATGGCAAATTCATTGTATTCACAAAGCATGGCTTTGTCATCAGCACCTTGCCTTGAGTTTTCTTGCCTTGATATTTGATCCTTCTGTTGTGTGTTCCTGTCCTTCCTTTCTATTACTGATATCTTTAAAAAGCAGAACTAGAAATCATGGATTCATCTGCTATCCATCTCAAATCTGGATAAAAGGAACAGATGGTTTACTTAAACTAGAAAGATAAGGAAGAAATTGGCAGACATAAGGAAGCTAGGAAATATTAGGCTTGGAAAAAAACCTTAGCTCATGGACATTACATGGAAAAAAAGCCCTCATATTTAAAGACTGGAAAGCTTAGCTGTCAGAAGAGTATCAGGCCACAGAAATAGAAAAAAATAGTTTTCCTGGAAGTGTGACTGAATTGTTTCCAAAAGTGTTATTGTATATCTTTTCCTTATGCTTGAAGATTGCTTCTCTGAGTAGTTTTAGCCAGTAATCCTAAAGTGAAGATTACAGGAAATCCACTGAAGTATCTTCAGATGCACAGATAAGGCATAGTCCAATTGTGATTACATAGAGAAAATATATTCATGAGGTACATATTCTTAATGATTTAGAAAATGTAATTCTAAAGAGCTTTAATCAGTACGGAGTAATATTTTATCTATAGTAATTCATTATTAAATATGTTTTTATTTATGTGCAGTGATGTGGATATTTTTCAGTTTCCCCAGTCTGGTACTGTACATCCAAATACTACAATCTTTAATAAAAATTTAAAAAATAAAATCTATAACATGTTAATCTATAACATTAGTAATACAGACTGTTTTAATAACATAGGTAAGATAAAGTGGTATAAAATATTTCATAAAAACTACTCTTATACGAAGTGTTTTGGCTAAATTTGCTAAATAGTTCATTCTCAAACTTTTTTCCAGCCTGTAAATAAAATATAGCACTTCGAATTTACCTCTATAACAGGTGGGCTTTTTAATTTAAGAAGAAATCCGAGGCAATAATTGCTTGATGTAGATACTTTCAAAGCTAGTTACTTTTTTTAGTAAATGAGAATTCTAAGTTTCTTCCCTGTGCAGGTGTCCAAATTAATCTATGTTTGGTTCCATGTAAATGAAAATCTGTGTTATATGGGAAAGAAAAGAGTTGCTGATTATGGCACTATTAAAATGTTTTTTAAGGGATGCATCTGTTGATTATAGTATCATGGTACCAGTGCTCCAGTGACGTTTAGAAGCTTATCTTATCATAATTGAGAGACATAATTTTTAGACTTAGAAGATTACCAAATGAAATCGAAACAGTATACTGTTCCCTTAGAGTTAGTAGTAAATTTGGGGGGGGGGGGGGGGGGCATTTGACACATTCATACAGCAACCATACAGGTACTTCTTGAATAGTGATGGTAATTGGGACCATTGTTAAGCAATGTGGTAATTAGGCAAAACATCACAAGACCACACTCTTAGAAATGGTAATTCCAGTAGTTCCGGTTGTTAGGCCAGGACAGCAATACTAGATGAGGACCTCACATTTCTGCTCTGCAATACTTGCCTTTGATTCAGTTCCCACCTGCCTCACCTTTTGGTTGCCCCACATTGCTGCAGCTGAATTTCATCTTCCTCCTCCTACTGCTAGGCCAGGATTCTGACATGGGTGAGGGTGAGACTGCTGGCTGTTCATGAGGTTTTTCAGGAGGAAAGCTGGACCAAGAGTGAACAAAGGATAAGCTCTGCTGGCAATGGGCCTGGCTCTGCTCCTCGCTGAAGCCTACATTCCAGTTTTCCAAGAGCACTTCCTCCAATTTTGCTGTGTCACCCCAAACAACATTTCCCACACAGCCTCCACCTTCACCCAGGGAACCTGCCATAGGTTCTCTTTCCACTGCCATGCTCACTGTGCACATTCCAGGATTGTATCCTAGTCCATTTTATGTATAATCCACAGATATTCAAGACCCATTCATTCTTGACTGTACCAGTTCTTATTGTACTATGTATAGGTTTGGGTGGCTTTGGTTTTTTTTTTGTAACCCAGTTCCCCAGGTTTCAACTTATTTTTATATTTCTCTTAAATGATTCAATACTGTTAGAATATTAATTTTAATAGCTAGAATAATAAAGTGTATAATGGTCCAGGACAAACAAAATCCTCCTCTACACCCACTGCAACTAATCACAGCATACTGCCTTAGGCAGTGGATGTAAAGGAGGATTTTTTTCTTTTCCCCACCTGTTTTCTTCTATACGCTCTGTATACTGTTTGAAGATTTACCTCATGATGTTACTGTGTTACTGACTACCTTGTCTGCTTCAAATATAAATGTGAAATATATTTATTTATATAATACTACATATGTCAGTGTCTCTGACTTCATTTGGACACTTGTAGCTCAATTCCCTGACAAATACTCATTTACATCTAACAAAGTCATTTATATTTAACATGTTGGACAGAAGCACACTCTTGTAAATAGCCATTTTTGCTTGTTTCATTCTAAATTTATATTTATTCTTTTGACATGGTAATGTTTGAGTAGAATGATGTTTTAGTCTTGTATTTAAAGCAAAAAGATGTTTTTTTCCCTAAGCAGTAGTTACTAGTCTTACTCATTTCTGAATTTCCAGATGATCCAGTCATCTTTTCTGTACCATTACTATTATGTAACATAAAAGAATATTTTTTCCTTGAGTCACATTAATTCAGAATGTCATACATTTTTCTCCCAAATTCATCTATGGTTCTTCCATTATCAGTGCTCACTGAAGTATGAACTGTTACCGGTCTAAGGATAGATGAGATTAATTCATTCATTTTAGTTCTTTCATTCATAATTAAGCCTGCATATTCCATGAAAAATTCTTGGCTAATTCTGTATTTGGCTAATTGAATACTTGCAAGATCTACTATAAGAATTAAACTCTTATTGTTCAGTTGTGCACCATGCATGACATTTTAATGCAATTAAGCATTTTAAAGTTATTATATTTTTTCCTATCTGGGAAATATTTTGAACAATTAATATGGTGGTGCATTTGTGTAGGGATGTACTGAGGAAATAATATAAATTTATTTTATGTTTATTTATTCATTAAATTTATTTGACACAACTTGCTTCAAGAGTTTATATAAATTTATATAGAATAAAATAAATTAAGTATAGGCACATATATACAGTTGAATAACTTACAAATGCTACATTTTGCTGAGATCTACACATAGATCCAATTGCTGTTTCTGAGTCTCTGTTTATATTTCTATATAGTTCTAGGTAGGGGCAATATACTGGTTAATGTAATATATAAATTTGGTTCACACAGTGTTCTGTCATTTAGCAGTCTGGTCTACAGTACAGTTTGTAGTAAGAACTCGTAAGATTTTCAGGTCCTCAGAGGAAATACCACTTGGACATACCAAATGCCTTGGCTTTGTTTTAATATCTCATTCATAATTCATATTATTGATTCTCTTTGGGCTGAATTCATAACCCATCATCCAATACTTATCATTTTGCTGATTGATGCTTCAGCAAATCTGAGTTTAAACTGCTGATTGTAGGACAGTAGACAAAGTATTCATATAAATGAGCATTTAAAGACATCCACATTTCTCTGAAATTGTGCAGTTGGTTCCTTCTTTCCCATTTTGGGATTGGAAATTAGGCAAGTCACTACTGGTTAATATTTAGATATAAGCCTATCAGGAATCCCAGTAATGTAAGGTCGACCAAAAAGTTGACAAAAATCTGAGTTTACCTACTAAAACTAGACCTCCACAATTGCTACGTATCAGGTGGTTAAAATATTAATAATTTTTGATAGTTGTCATGCAAATGGCTTTAATTTTTTTAAAATATGATTATGTTTTAAACCTTTGTGTATTAGAGTAAGTGAATTTGTAAACAGAGCAATTGTAATTGAACGGTACTAATTCTGCCTCTTTCGTGACACTTTGCTTCCTTTCATATATCTGTTAGAGGTTTTTTTGTTTGTTTTTTTCATAAAAACAAACAAATACACTGGTCAAGGATCTTTCTCTGATAGTCACTAGCACTGTACTTGTGGATACTGGAAGAGGAAACACCAACTCTGTTCAGGGGTTGCGATATGCTGTGTAATTCACAAAGAAAGCTTTGGATGTTCATCAGATCAGATGCTTACTATCCAATGTTAAGGCAGCGTTTGAAAAGTAGCTGGGTAGTTCAGCCTACTAATATTGTGCAGTCTGTGGTAGATGTTGAGAGTATGTACTTTGTCCCAACAACATCAGAGGCTATTTAAAGAAGTGATATATGTTGGAATTGCTGTTGCTAAGCCATGCAGTTATGTGATTTTGGGTTATATAAGTGTATTTCTAAAAAAAAATTATCCTGCCTTTTTGTTTCATGTACAAAACCTTACCAACACTCTTTCCACCTGCTATTGTCCACACAATAACACACCTGTAGGTGATATGGGGTTAGCTGAAAGGAGTGACTGGGCCAACGTCCAGCCAGTTTTCATGTCTAAGGTGGGACTAGAACTCACCATTTCCTGGTTTCTAGCCAGAATAGCCTTAGCTATTCCAGTCCCAAATGCTGTGTAACTGAAAGACAAACTGTACACTATTTAAGATGCAAAGTATTTTAATAATTAAGTATCAAAATTGTGTGAGTATCCTTACACATCACCTGTGCTTAAATATGGTTATCTCTTTTGCTATTACTAGGATGATGATGGTACAGAAGAAGAGGAAAGCAGAGTAGAACCAGTGGGTCATGCAGATGCAGGTTTGGATAACATCACCTATTCGTTAGAGTAAGTTTATTGTTTTTAAAAACTATTTAATACTTAAAATATTAAGACTTAAATTTAGAAAAAAAGACTTGATAGGTTTGAACTTTGGTGTTGAAGAACACATGGACACTTAGAAAAATGAACAAAAATCAACCCAGAGTTCTCACTGTAGGTACAAATGAGCTGTCTCAAATTATCCTATGTTGGACACATTATGCAAAGATTTAGCTTTCTAAGGAGCCACGGTGGTGCAGTGGTTAGAGTGCAGTACTGCAGGCTACTTCTGCTGGCTGCTGGCTGCCTGCAATTTGGCAGTTCGAATCTCACCAGGCTCAAGGTTGACTCAGCCTTCCATCCTTCCTAGGTAGGTAAAATGAGGACCCAAATTGTTGGGAGCAATAGACTGACTCTGTAAACCGCTTAGAGAGGGCTGTGAAGCAGTATACAAGTCTAAGTGCTATTGCTATTGCTAAAGAAAACTGTAGGCCTGGAAAGGCGAAAGGACAGAAAGCAATAGAATAACTACTAGCAAACTGGACAAATTCAGTTACAATAGTGATGACTGTACCTTTGGAAGGTATTCAATATAGATCACCATGGACAAAATCTGTGTGATTTATTAGAAAAAAATACCACTGAGGCACTGTCTTGTCATGTTGTAGGCCTTGTGTGATTTGAACAAAATGGGAGATGTGCAACAGGGGAAGCCACACTAGACAAATCTCATCTGAAGAACCAGATAATAGAATGAGATGTAATATACAGCAGTGGTCCCCAACCTTTCTGACTCCACAGACCAGCAGAGGTAGTGGCAGGTGGCGGGGTAAGGAAAAGAATGGTTTGTTGTGCACAACCTAATCCAGTTCATCTGCAAATGGAGCTTCATTCACTTGTCGGCTAATTGCCCAGCCCAGTTCCCAACTGCTCTGCAGACCGGGGATTGGAGGCTTCTGATTTACAGAAATCTATACTGGATCTGTTCTTGGCTGGATCAACAAGGTGTACTGTGGACAGAAGGGCTACATATCTACATATCTATATCTGTGGTGATTGGCTGATGCCAATTGCAATCTAAACACCTGGCTGATTGTGGGACTAATAATTATATTAATATTTGGATACAGGTTCAAATATTATTCATTCAAATGCATGAATCAGGTTTCTCTTGGCTAAGAAGGCAAATATTCCTTGTTTTTGAAAAAGCCTCATTTTACTTTTGACCATGAAGAAAATAATTTTCACAACACATTGGGTTGACGCCACTTGATGCATCACAGATATCTTTTTTTTAATTATATGATTGATTGTGCATCATAAAATTGGTGTTAGCTCTCAGTGACTACATAGATTTTTTCCCCCCATAATGACTTGTCCCTAATGTTGATCAGGATTCTGGTAACTCTGATGATTTGTTAAAATGTTCTTATGTTGAAATGACCGAAATAAAGTTTGGTGTTGTGGCAAGTTTCATAAGAAATCACAAGCTTGTGAGCACATGATAAAAGACCACTAGATGCATGCACAAATGTTTTTGTAATTTCTATACCTTAACTTCACTGAGAACTGTATGTCAGCTTAAGTAACCAAGTAAAAACAAAAAATCTATACATACTTGCTTCAAACTGCATTCAGGGTTCTTCCAATCTTATGGGAGGACCCATTTTTATTCATATAAACATGTATTTTAAGAGAGATAACCTGGACTCTGTCTCTTTGGTTGCATCAAGACACACCTGATTTCTGCCTGACACACCTGATTTCTGCCTGGAAAATCCAATAAGGATTTTCAAGTTTTCCAATAATATACTTGTTATTGCTCTAGCTGAGTTTACTAATTTGGCTGCTGATTATCTTCTTCAACTCTTTGTTCTACCTTTCCAGCTTTAAAGGTTTGTCCCAAAAGCTAGATCTTTGCATTATGGGTCTGCAGATACCTCTTTAATCTTAGTGAATAAAGTCCTCATGAAAAGAGATTGTCAGTAATTTTTTGCAGAATTGTTTTAAAAATTGAATGCTTTGGAGAATTTGAGATATTTATAACAATATCTTTTATTTTCTAATGAATGGAAGACACATACATGCCAAAATATAAAATCAACTTATGAAATCAGTATCTTTTTCTAACCATTACGTGTAACATTGATAGTTACAGTTCTGTACTTGAGAATACATCTGGAAAGAATCCATTATGACATACAAACGATTACTATTGGACTTGCTCATTTTTAACACAATAAGTGGAAATTGGATAATTCAAGCAGTGCAGAGAGAAAGAGAAAATCATTGAACAAATAATGAGAAGTCAATTTGATCATTTTCTAGGCTCTTCTTTCTTTTGTGGCTTCCATTTGCAGTGACTGCAATATAATTTAAAAACTACATTATAAAGTGTGCTGGCTGGAAAGGATTAGAATGAGGCACAAATCAGTTTATCTGGAAAAGCCCTTCTTTGGGAAAAAAAAAAAAAGCTAAGCAGGAGAACTAAGCAAATGGCAGAAAGAAAGGGTGAGACGGGATGATTAGAAAATGAACTACATTCGAGTTACAAGAAGACTGGGAGAATGTTTAAATATTCCTTCCAGAAAGAAAATGAAAAGCTGTAGTAGAATTTAAGCGGTAGAAAAAGTAACATTTTCATCCCTGTGATATCTGACAAGCTACTTTTGAAATGTTTCTCATGTTTAAAAATTAGTTTTTAATGATGCATTTGGAGTAAGAATTGCCATTCAGATGTGCCAAGATAACTGTTTAGCTCACTGAAAACTCCTAAGGTTGTGATGCAGAACATAATTTAGTTTCTGATTGCAAAAGATAAGTTGACCATACATTCTTAGAACAGTTCAATGGAAAAAAAATATAAATTACAAATGATTGGAATTAATAAGATGTAAATAAAATTTAATGGACATGGTGGCTCAGTGGCTAAGAAGCTGAGCTTGTCGATCGAAAGGTCGGCAGTTCAGAGTTTCGAATCCCTAGTGCCGCATAACGGGGTGAGCTCCTGTTACTTGTCCCAGCTTCTGCCAACCTAGCAGTTCGAAAGCACATAAAAAATGCAAGTAGAAAAATAGGGACCACCTTTGATGGGAAAGTAACAGTGTTCCATGCGCTTTTGACATTTAGTCATGCCGGCCACATGACCACGGAGACGTCTTTGGACAGCGCTGGCTCTTCGGCTTTGAAACAGAAATGAGCACCACCCCCTAGAGTCGGGAATGACTAGCACATATGTGCGAGGGGAACCTTTACCTTTACCTTTTAAATAAAATTTCTATATGAATGATACAAAGATCACTATTTTCATTATTTGAATAAGAATTTGCTTATTGAAAAAAGGTAAACTTCTAAGAAGTTGGCTACATCCTGATCATGTCTTCTATAGCTAAGTTTATATCAATAATGTTATGTATGGTTATACATGTCGCATGTGATTGCATATAAGTACTTATCCATTAATATGCAATCCAGATTTCAGTGTATTTCAAAAAAACCTGAAGCTATTATCGATATACAGCCAAGGAGAGCCCAGACTGCACACAGAATTTCATTATTTCATCATCCTGTTACAAAATTGGGTAATAAAAACATCTGATGAAAACAAACAATTTCAAAGAGGCTTTGAAAATAATGTGTTAAAATGAATAGTTACACATGAAATGAAAGCAAATGAATTTATATTACATGTATTTTGATGTAGGCTGCATAAGGATCTGCTAAATAATATTATAGTTGAATGGAATCTCGATGTATTCATAAATTACAATTGTTTAATTTTGATAAATTTGAGCTAAAAATAGTTTAGAAGAGTGTCAGAATTTGCAGACAGTTGCAGACAGATATTACTATATTGGTGATGTGTGAGAACATCCGTCAGTGAATGTTTAGCATACCAGGCCAAAAAATCATTTTGCATTATGGTTTGAACATTGCATTTGCAAATTCAGTCATTGATGTAATTCTTATAGGGCTATTAAAGTGTATTATGGGGAATCATTGAATTGACTGCATATTATTCTGATAATTCTCAGTTTGACAGTTAAGTTCAGATTGATGTGGAGTGTTACGTTGAATCAGTTTTTTTAAAAAAACTAAACACATGGTTTGAAGCAGATCAATTCATCCTGATTTTTAATATTAATTAAGAAAAGATGACTTTATGTTTTAATTAAAGAGCCAAAGGGCTGAGAGATTTATATTATGAACTCTTAGTACAAATTATTAATTTATAAAATTTGGAAATAATTATAGTAGTAATTATGCCAAGACAATATTTATCTAGTTAGGCTCTTCAGCCTCATACAATACTGTTTCAATTTATATCTATGTTATTTTTAAAGTTATTTATGGAAACATACTGGAAAACAAAAAGAAATGGAACTTTCTGTTTTCTTTAGGACAATTCTGTTTAGTCATAGTTTGACACCTAATTCCTAGAAAAGCTAATCTCAAACTTCTTTCATTGTTGGACATAAGACAAATTGTATATTGGCTTAAAGTTACACAAATGCATTTTACTTGAATAACTAATGAAATTATTATTTTTTATTATGGATTTTCTTTCATGCTGTCAGATTATTACTGAGGTATGTAGGAATCAATGTTGCTTTTATCTAAACTAGTTTTCAAATATCTGTGTTTTCGTTTTTGAGTTTGTGTTTTTGTAGAAGTGTATTTGTCATTTTTTGGTCCGTGTTCACGTTCCTTCATTCATCATTGTCTCACAGTGATATGGTGAAGCTCGTTGAAGTTTCCAATGATGGTGGACCGTTGGGGATCCATGTAGTTCCTTTCAGTGCTCGAAGCGGAAGGTAATGTACCATATAGGTTTTTAATTGATTTATTTTCTTAGATACATTGGTTTCTGGTTTTATCTGATTGATTGATTTGTAGGTTGGTTGATTGATTGACTTCCCATTTCTAGAACAATTATGGACAGCTTATACTTTATAAGAAGAGTGTGTCTATTTGAAATAGAAACATGATTCTTTCACCAGAAAGTCTTACTCACTGATCCCTAAGAAATCTTTTCTGAATACAGCTCAGTTAGTCAAGATGAAAATGACAGAACCTAGTTCTAATTTATATATTTATAAAATTAAATTCTGTCCTAATATGAAACTGGATTGCAAAAATGTACATTATTTCTGTCACAGCCTCAGAAAAAGTTTCTTGTGTTTCACCTTAGTCTGATATTAGAAATGGTGCACCATTTTTTTTTTTTTTTTGCTAGTTGAAAGATTATAATTTATAGACTAGCAGCATCTGAAATCATGACAGCATTCTGTGGGTAGTTTTTCACCCAAACATGGGAAGAAAAAAATTTACAGTCAAGGTAGTGTTAAATAAAGTTAGTTATATAAAATATAGCACACATTTTTTATTTATTGCTGAACATGAGTGTATTATATTGCACCACATCCAAAAAACAAGGAAAAAACCAGGTGATGGGTAAAATGAATATATTACCAATAATGGCCCTAAGCCATATTCTGTCAGGGAGCTGAATTAAAATATCAATTCTTACTCTATTGAGATAGAATTCCGGTATTTAGGTTTTGTGATTAAATGTACTTGGAAAATTAAATGAGCTATGACACACATATGATTTTGTGGAAAAATTTGCAAGTTTGTGGTATAAAGTCCAACTCCGACACTTCTTCAGTAATGTAAATAAGACTTTAGGAGAAATAAAAAAAAAATTGATTACCATTAGCAGAGAAGAAAATGCATTTACAGTATATTTTACAACATCCTGGTGGGAAAAGTCCAAACATACATTTATAAATAGAATCCTGGATTGTAAACTGATGTGATTCTGTGTTTTGACTAGTCCACATAGCTCTGAAGAATTTCATTTTAAATTGATTAAAAGTCAATGTCATTGTAGAGGAAATATATTTTATCTGCTTTTTAAAATTCCTGATTATTTATTTATTTATTTATTTATTTATTTATTTATTAAATTTTTATACCGCCCCCTCTCCCGAAGGACTCAGGGTGGTGAACAGCCAAAATTAAAAAACATACAATATAAACATTAAAATACTATAAAAACGAAATTTAATTTATCTTTGGCTTCCCCCAATTTAAAACCTCTTATCCATAAAATTCACCAATTAAAAGATTTTTAACCCAGCCCCGCTTGCTCAAATAAAAAAGTCTTCAGAGTCCGGCGGAAGGTCCGGAGGTCCAGGATCAGTCGTATCCCTGGAGGTAGCTCATTCCAGAGGGTGGGTGCCCCCACAGAGAAGGCTCTTCCCCGGGGGGGGGGCGCCAGCCGACATTGCCTGACCAACGGCACCCTGAGGAGGCCCTCTCTGTGGGCGTATTGGCCGGTGGGAGGTTATCAGTGGCAGAAGGTGGTCTCGTAAATAACCAGGCCTTAAGCTATTGAGCGCTTTAAAGATGAGAACCAATACCTGGAAGCGCATCCGGAAGACCACTGGAAGTCAATGCAGCTCGTGCAGGAGAGGTGTCATGTGGGAGCACCATGTCGCCCCCATAATTACCCACGCGGCTGCATTCTGCACCAGTTGGAACCTCCGAGTGCTCCTCAAGGGGAGCCCCATGTAGTCCAGGTGGGAAGTGACGAGGGCATGAGTAACCGTGCATAAGGAGTCTGATAGAAAGCCCCCCTGGCCACGGCCGTCATATGCTCTTCTAAAGACAGCCGTGCATCCAGGAGGACACCCAAGTTACGCGCCCTCTCTGTGGGGGCCAATGTCTCGCCCCAAATAGTCAGCAATGGCACCAGCTGACTATATCGGGACACCGGCAACCACAGCCACTGAGTCTTGGAGGGGTTGAGTCGGAGCCTGTTCCTCCCCATCCAGACCCACATGGCCTCCAGGCACCGGGACATCATTCAAGGGCATCATTGGGGTGGTCTGGGGTGGAGATGTACAGCTGGGTGTCGTACAGATGGCACTGCACCCCAAATCCACGGATGATCTCACCCAGCGGCTTCACATAAATGTTGAACAGGAGAGGCGAGAGGACCGACCCTTGTGGCACCCCACAAACCAGGTGCCTTGAGGTCGACCTCTGCCCCCCAGCCAACATGGACTGCAACCGGTCGGAGAGATAGGAGGAGAACCACCGTAAAACAGTGCCTCCCACTCCCAACCCTTCCAACCGGTGCAGCATGATACCATGTTCGATGGTATCAAAAGCCGCTGAGAGGTCTAATAGGACCAGAACAGAGGAGCAACCCCTGTCCTGAGCCCTCCAGAGATCATCAACCAACGCAACCAATGCCGTTTCCGTGCTGTACCCAGGCCTGAAGCCGGACTGGAACGGATCTAGAAGGACAGTTTTATCCAGGTACTGCAGGAGCTGTCGCGCCACCACACTCTCAAGAACCTTCGTCAGAAAGCGAAGGTTGGAAACAGGACGATAGATTGCCAAAACAGCTGGGTCCAGAGAGGGCTTCTTGAGGAGGGGCCTCACCACCGCCTCTTTCAAGGCGGGTGGTGAGGCGGTAATTTTTGTTCCACAGAATGTTTTGTTTATGGACTTCCGGTGGCTCCGCATTCCCCGAATAGACGCTCCTTTAGGAGCTCCAGCCCTGTGATTCTGTTTGCCGCTAGAACAGCGAAAATCAACTGTTCTAGCGGCTCAAAACTCTCCCCCAGGGAAAAAGGGGGAGAGAAGAGCAGAAGGGTCTGGGTAGAGCTCCTCTAGACCCCCAGGCTTTTTTTTTTTTTTTTTTTGAAAAGCCTGGGGTTTGCAGGGTGAGAGTTCCACACCAGCAGAGCAATTTTAAGGATTATTTAAACCTGGATGCTGGCAGAGCAAAATCAGGAGAACAGAAAATGCAAGTATTAAACTTTAACTCCGTTTAAAAGAAAAAGAAAAAAGATGGCGCTGGAAGGCATTAAAACGAAACTTACTAGTGAAAGTGATCATTAAAGCTGCAACATTGTAAAAGCTACTGGAATATGCGGCTAGAAAGAGATTTAAAGTGCTAGTGAAATGAAAAAGATTATGGTGCTGACCCCAACTACTTCATACTTCTAAATTGTGTGGAAAATTATTGGATTTATTGACCTGACATCTGAATAAATTTAAAGTGGGAATTGAAACATGGCTGACATCAAGGATGGAGGATCATTATTATATGAGCCAACAAACTCACAAGTTGTGATTGTAAAGGTTTTACAAGAACTCTTAAATTTTTATACTTCTGTTATGTTGGAATCAGTTGAAAGGACTATTCAAAATTATACTCTGGAGAACAACAATGATTTGCTGGCTGAAAAAGAGGAAGAAAATCAAGTTATTTCGACTTTGGAACATGAAAAAGGGGCTGTCAGGATCATGATGGAAGTTAGCACAATGAAAATAGAGGTTTTGGAAGAAGCTTCTATGCAGTTAACTGAAAAGCAGCAAATAGATTCTTTCCTGCAGACTGATAAACTTTATTGTGACTATTTTTGGCTTGATAGACAGAATCAATTTTCAAGGAAGGAAGTGACTGATTATATAAGCAGGAAGAGTCGAAATGGAGGTTCCAAATTGAAGGAGATAACTTTTAGAAGAGAACGATTTCAAATCTATATTCAAAAATTTTCGAAAATAAAAGCAAGGGGAGGAGCAATGCTGAGGGAGAAAGCACTATTGAAGAAGAAGGACTGGAAAAAATATAGAAAGAAAGGAAGAATTGAAGACTAGTTTCTTTTGGGGAGGATTTGAAAAGTTTACTGAAATTGGTATTTTTTAAGTTTAAGTAAAAATGTTTAATTAAATGGATAGCTTTTTTTAAAAAATTATTGAAGTATTAAAATGCTTAATTTTAAACTTAATTGATATCTTTCTGAAAGTTTTGAAATTGATATTTTGAAGAATGAACTCAAGAAGTTTACTGAAATTAGTATTTTTTTTTAAGTTTAAGTAAAAATGTTTAACTAAAAATGGATAGCTTTTTAAAAAATTACTGAGGTATTAAAATGGTTAACTTTAAAGTTAATGAATAGTTTTCTGAAAGTTTCGAAATTGATATTTTGAAGAATGAACTCAAGAGTTAGAAATAATTTAACTCAAGAATTAGAAATAATTTAATTCAATGGATTAATAGTATTTTGAAGGTTACATTCTGAAGAATATTCTGTTGAAGTGTCTTTTAAAAAAAATTACTGAAGTATTAAAATGGTTAATTTAATATTGAATAAATATAAAATAATATTTTTTTTCTTCTAAAAAGATATGCTTTAAAGAAAGTTTTATAATTTTTAAATTGGAACTTCAAAAGGGGAGGCTGATGAACAATTTTAAAAGAGGAGTTAAAGAGTGTGAGGGAGTTTTAAATCTTGTAGTAGTTAGTTTATTTTAGCTTATGTTTGTTTAATGCTATACCCTGTTTTTGCTATGGGAAGTTGGGGGTGGGGGTGGGGAAGGGGGGGTTGAAGGTTGTGTGGGGATAAAATGGTTGTCTAATTTTTCAATAAAATTAAAAGATAGATAAATGTATTAATAGAGAAGTAAGGAAAGTGGGAGAAATGTCATAATAAAGGAAATGATAATATTAAAATGAGAAATATTGGAGGAGTAAAAAGAAGACACAAAAGATGTATTTAGAAGATATATTGACTAATTGATTATGTATTGTTTGTTTATAAAATAAAAAAAACTTTTTGATTAAAAAAAGAATGTTTTGATTATGATATAAAAATAATTCATTCTGGGCATTCATTTAAATATAATGTTGAAGTAAAATTACAGCGTCATGAGATACTCTGAAAAATGCTGAAAATTTTCTTACAGTAGCTTTCTGTGAAAAATTAGAGAACATCAAATGCAGCTATGCTTT